ATAATTTTCTTGTGCTCGTTGGCCAGTTCTCTGAGGGTTGTTCATGTGATGTGCTGCTGGGCCTGTATATGGCTGTCCATGCACATGATTATTCTAGGAAAGGAGAAGAGATCTGCATGTTAAAACTTTTCACATAGTAAAACAACTTCAAAATCAAGGTCCGAAGTCTCTGGAAATATAAACTTTTATTCTTGGGACTTACTCTGTAAATACCCTTGCGCTACTATAGTGCAAAAACAAAACAAAACAAAACAAAACAAAACAAAAGGCCTGAAAGAGAAAAACAAAGTGTAAATGCAAACCCCACTGCTCTGAAGAATAGGTCCACAGAAATCTTTGGCCAAAGTGATTTTCAGTGCCAAAAATTATTTAGACTCAAGTCTGGCAAATAAAGGATTAACCCACTGTTGCTCTTGGTAAAAAACTGTCAGAGAATGATCTGTGAGCATCTGTTGAGTCTTCCACATGCTAAATCCAACTGATTAACCATGATATGAGATCTGCAGAAGCAGTAACCCTGAACTCACAATAATGCTGATTAAAAACAGAACAATGTTCAAGATGATAAAGTAACCAGGCATGACTGACATAGAGTTTTCTCAGGGCCAAACTAAGTTAACTTTCCTTGTAGATTTGGTTCCCCGCCTCAGCCTCCTGAGTAGCTGGGACTACAATCATGTGCCACCACGCCCGACTAATCTTTGTATTTTTACTAGAGACAGGATTTCACCATGTTGGCCAGACTGGTCTCGAACTCCTGATCTTGTGATCCACCTGCCTTGGCCTCCCAAAGTGCTAGGATTACAGGCATGAGCCACCATGCCCAGCCAGGCTTTACTTTCTATAGATGAAAATAAATATGCTGAATGTGTACTTCCTAACTATTCAGTTTGCTTGTTATGTTCACATTGAAATGTAACAAAGAATGCCTGAAATGATGTTTCTCAAAGTATGGTTCCTGGACCACCAGCAGCATCACTTGGGAACTTGTTAGAAATGCACATTTTCCAGCCCCCTTCTCCTCTGCTGGAGCAAGCCCCCGAAGGGAGACTCATGCCTGTTCAAGTTTGAGTACCACTGCCTCACAAGAGCTGATTTAGCTGCATTTTGGTTTCAGAAAGAAAAAGTTCTCATTTAGAATGTTTCTTTATCTAATTTCATTTGCTATTTATTTACTTTACAGTTAATCACCTATGGAACCCAAATCCTTTTTTTTTCCAGTTATTTTTAACATCACTGAAACCTGTGGCTAAGTAACCAAGGACTTCTTACTTCATTGCCGTATCTTAATATCTTTAAAATCCAGGTGAAGATTTCGCCTCATAGTAAATGTCACCATAATCCTCTGCACTAAACACTGATCATTTTATGCTGACATAATTTCTCACACAGTTTTATATTAACTACTAGCACAAGAAGGATACCTTCTTGACAAGGAAAACCCTACAGGGGTTAAGCTGAAACATGTTGCACCATGACCTCCACTCCAAACCATTCTTCTTCTGATCATGCTCCCAAAGCTAGACTAGATAATCCTGTTACTTTGTAGTCACAACAAAAAATTGAGCCATCCTCTAAAATTAAGCATAAAACCTAGTTCTAGGGGATAAAACCACAAACTGACTCCTGTTTACCTGTTGATACTGAGATCCAGGTGAATGGGGGTACAATGGGGCATCTTCAGGTGGAGGCGACTCATGTTCATCTGGGGCATCTTGGTCATCTGGCTCCTAATTTTGAATATTTCAAGATACAGAATTATGCAGGCAAACTCAAGTTTATTTTTAACCTTTTCTATTTGAAATAAATTTTAAAAATCTACAAAACTGACTCATGAGCAACTTTTACTGCAAATAAATTGAAAACAAACAAAAAAACTGATTTGCATTCTCTTAGAAATACTACATCTCAGGTAATTTCACAGAAATTTCTCCAAAAGAAGGCTCCCTCATTTGCTTAAGATGACAAAGAATAAACATTTTTCTTATCTTTTTTTTGAGGTGGAGTTTTGCTCTTGTCACCCAGGCTGGAGTGCAATGGCACAATGTTAACTCACTGCAACCTCCGCCTCCTCGGTAGATGAGATTACAGGCGCCCACCACCACGCCCAGCTAAATTTTGTATTTTTAGTAGAGATGGGGTTTTGCCATGTTGGCCAGGCTGCTCTCGAACTCCTGACCTCAGGTGATCCACCCACCTCGGCATCCCAAAGTGCTGGGATTACAAGCGTGAGCCACCACGCCCAGCCGAATAAACATTTTTCAAAACCCAAAACTTGAACACAATCTTTTAATAATATCATTAATATATAAACACTGGCCTATAAAATAAAGAATTACTTTGCTCTCTTCCATTTCTATCTGCTGCACACTGGTGGCTTTTTTTACCTCCTCTGGACAGAGTTCACAAGCTTTAGCAAGTGTCATCCTAGCACTATGTGATCTCTCCAAGAAATAACCATTTGATGTCTCATTGCTTTGCACTGGGGGAGACCAATTGTTGTAAGTGTACTGAGGATTGCCAGTATATGGTCTTCTTTCAAGTTCATCTCCAAGCCATTCCACCGCCCAGGTCCACTTTCTTTTAAGATCTCCATTTCCCTGAAAAAGAAAATAAAATCATATATATGAGAGGATTTGGAATACTTCAAAGTTAACTTAAAATGACAACCCCAAGTTCTCATGATTCTCTTCTTTTAAAATAGAATCCTTAATTCTGATTAAGATTTCTACAAAATTATAACAACAAAATCCTCACCTGCAAGATTTGGTAAGCAACGGGACAGTTACTAAATAGAGCTACCATACATTTTATACACTGGTATGCTCTTTTTTGATAGTGATTCTTAGAGCGCTGGATTGTGTCAAACAGCCCATCTCGGTCATCTGGAATTCCTTTCAGTGCATTATGGATTCTGAAAGAGAACCAGGTATCAAAGAAAAACGTCTAAAATCTAATATATACCGAGTGTCTACTATGTGCCACACAATGTCTTTGATTTAGTCATTTAATCTAACACTAGACAGTACGTACTATTATTAAACCTTTTAACAGATGAGAAAATTGGCACAGAGTTATACAGCTTGCTGAGGTCATACAGCTGCGTTCTTACTAACTTATTACCAATCCAAAATAATTCTGCCATGTATGTAATTTAAACACATTGCCTAAAGTGAATTCAGGACACTCAAGAGTAATGCAAATTTTTAAATAGTAACTAAGTTATGACTGCTGTAGTCAAAAGTAATTTGCTATACGTCAATACCTTCTATAAAACTGCATCTCTGAAGGCAAGTTAGGATTCAGTGACATAATTTAGAGGTACAGTATTCGAATTCTAATAATGCAAATACATGGCAGGCAAAGCATTTTGACAGGCAATAGTACAATTTGGATGATTTGCCAATAACACAGGATTTTCATTTCAGCTCTTCTCAAACTACAACAGAGTAATGATACCTAGGCCAACTAGTTCCTGTCTTTCCCTGAAATAATTAACTTAAAACAAGGTTGTAGGGGCACAAACATGCCTTGTTTCTTTTGTGTTAAAAATATTATGTGCCAGTAAATAAAATGTGGTGTATATATATCTTATAAATTATCCAGATATAATGACATATGTAACATGGATGGACTCTGAAAACATTAAGCTAAATGAAAGAAGACAGACATGCAAATTGCATGATTTCATTTTTATGAAATGTCTACAGTAGGCAAATCCATAGAGACAGCAGATTAGTGGTTGCCGGGGCTGGAAGGAATGATGAGTGACTGCTTAATTGGGTACGAGTTTCCTTTTGGGGTAATAAAAATGTTCTGGAAGCAGATAGTAGTAATGGCTATTTAACATTGTGAATATACTAAAAGTCACTGAATCGTATACTTTAAAATGGTTGAAATGATGAATTTTATGTTACGTAAATTTTACCTCAATTAGAAAACGTAACCTGGACACTGAGAATTTAAGATTCTAATGTACACTATGGTATTTTACTTAATAGAATGTTTCAATTCAAAAAGATTTTTTTCCTCCATCAACTGCATTCATGATTGATTTCCAAACAGATTACTCAGCAATTCTGCAAAGCTTAATCATTTCAGACAGGTCAACCATGTCCACGCCCTCTTGCTGTTTAATCTGAAACACTACATATAAATTGCTTTTACCTGTTTTTTCAGGTAATAATGAAGTGCTAAATCAGTATTTCTGTCATACCATATTTTCTCTCCATTAGTATCAACTGTTCTCAAATGCCATTTTTATAATACTATCTTCACTTGCCTTATTACCTGATGCCAAGCAGCGCTGGGCACATGGTAGACACTCCATAAATAGTTGAACACTATTCACTGAATGAATTAAAAGCTAATTTATGAGAAAAGTATTTTCACATTTGGGTCAGTGATTCATATAACAATATCTTACTTATCTGATTACACAAAAATGTAATTTCCACATTTACTCTAGCATATATGTCTTAGCCATTAACACTTGCTCTAATCAAACAAGAGCTAAGATGTGATTAACTGGTTTAAAACTGTTAAGTGCTTACAGAATTTTCTTTTTTAAAAAAATAGAGAGAGGCAAGATCTTGCTATGTTGGTCAAGCTGGCCTCGAACTCCTGGCCTCAAACGATTCTCCTGCCTTGGCCTCTCAAAGTGCTTATTACAGGGTGAGCCACTGTTCCCAGAAATACCGCATTTTAAAAAAAGAAAATAGTAAAAGTTAGATTTCATTAAAATCGACTCAGAAGAAAGCTTTCAAATCCTATGCTACTATCTTTTGTGTCTCATGAAAACTGATTTTTGGTTTAATGCTATTTTTACAGTATTTGTTTGTAATCTATTATGGTAAATTTGGAGATAATTTGAAAAATACTAAGTCACAAATTCTGGTATTTGCAATCCCCACTAAAACTCCAGATTATAACTTCTCTTTAAGCATTTTGTTGTTACAGATCTTGTTTTTGAGTTTATTACATTGACAGATGGGAGGCAAACTGCAATATAGACTTTGAATTGTTTCCCCAAATTAACTATTATACTATCTTCCATGTGGGAAGGGAAGTTATAAAACCTAGCACAGCTGTCAACTAATACCATAATTTACCATCAATTATATAACTCTTGGGATTAAAGATAATATATTCAACTTTTACTACAAAAGAAACAAATAGAAAAATTCTCATGAAAGTCTGAGGGCCAGTTAAGCTGGATAACCTTAGTTCTTAAGGGGAAAAAAGTTAAAATTCTAAAACTTCTCATAAAAACTAATTATAATTGATCCTCTATTCATGAATTCTGTATTTGTGAATTTGCCTACTTCCTAAACTTTATAACTGCAAAATCAATCCTCAAGGTGCTTTCTAGGTCATATGTGGACACATGCAGAGCAGTAAAAATATCAAGTTGTCCAACACAATCATTCCTAGATGAAGTCCAAAAGTGATATTCTATCATGTTTCAGCTTAAACTGTAAACAAGTGTCCTTCGTGCCACATTTTCCACATATTTGTTCTTTTGTTATTTTTATGTTTAAAATGACCCCTAAGTACATAATGTTGAAGTTCTGTCTAATGTTCCTAAGCACAAGGCGGCTGCGATGCGCCTTATGGAGAATGTGTTAAAAAAGCTTGAGTTCAGCCTTAAGTTATAGAGCTGTTGGCTGTGAACTTAATGAGTCAACAATATATATTAAGTGACTTGAAGTAGAAACACACATAAAACAAGGTTATGTATTGAACTGGTTGATAAAAATGTAAACAGAAGCTTATAGAAATCTAACTCTCTATTTTCTCCTAGGAGTAATGGTTCAGTATTTGCTAACTCAGTGTCTGTGGTGACTTTACAGAATATAAATACCATGAAAAATGGAAACTGTACTTAGCTAGGAATTACTTTTAAATATACTATTACACTTCTTGTGACCAATGACTACTTTAAGTTACTTCAAATGACTAGTTCTAGAATAAATGTAATTTAGTCATAAAATAATCCTAGGGCATCATTAATGAAATTCAAATATTTACCAAAAGCCCAAGCTAGCTCTTAATTAAAAAAAACATCATTCTAAAGAAAAGGCTTATTAAGTATGAAACTTAGGCAATGAGAGAAAAGAATAAAAAAGAAAATAAAATTCTGAGGAAAGGGGGAGAACTTGTTATTTACCCTTGTCCTAGGTTTTAGTTTAAGATAAAACACTCGAACTCCCAATAGGCTAAAAAAAAAAAAAAAAATGTGGTGACTATCAATTTCAGTTATGTCTAACACCTGGGCAAGCCTGTTTCCAGTAACAAAAAGAGTATCCACCTGTGAGTTTGCCAGGAGTCCTCAATCAGTAAGATTTGCAAAAGCAGATCCAAATAGGGCCGCAGTTCATAGGTATAGGAATATGCAACCTAAAAACAAGACATGGTGAATAACTTAATGAAAGGAGTAACAAATCAAATTATAAACATACAAATGTTATTTTCCTTTTACCTGCCAGAGAAGTTCACTGAGGACAGTAGATGAGAACTGAGGATTTTCCCAGCAGCAAAAACGAAGCAATTTGACAGTTTCCTCTGAATTACTGCAGTCTTCAATGATTTTCTTCACATAACTTGTTCTCACAAATAAAATGTCTGCCACATTCTGCTGAATTGGCATTATAGGTTGTGATAAATTAGGATCACCAAAAGGATTGGGAAGAGGAGGATTACCTAGAATATAGATTTGTCATTAATAAAAAACTAATAAGCTTCTCCACAATAATAATACACAACTTTCACGATAGAAAATAGCCTATACTTTTT